CTGGAAAATTGTTGACGCTTCGCGTATCCCCACGCTTCGCGTATCCCCACCAGCCCATCCAGAAACGATGCTCAGGGGAGTTGAGGTGATCAGGGAAGTCGGGGAGCATGCAGAATAACAAGGGGCGGGGGAAGCTGTCACAGACCCCGAGAGGGGGAGGATGGAAGAGGAGTCGTCGTCGTCGTCGTCGTCGGAGGAGGAGGGGGAAGAGGAGGAGGAGGAGGAGGAGGAGGACGGAGAAGGAGGAAGAATCGGAGGAGGAGGAGGAGGAGGGGAAGGAGCTTCTTGGGGGTCTTTTGAGGGCCTCTTGGAGTGCTTTTTGGGCGCCTTGGGGCATCTTGGGCGCCTCTTGGGACCCTCTTGAGGCGCTCTGGGGAGCCTTCGGGGCGCTTTTGGGGCCATCTTGGAGGGATTCGATCAAACAAGAGGGGGGGTTTAATTAGCGTCCCCCCTCGGAAGCCCCTAAAATCGCCTCTTGGACCCCTCTTGGAACGCTCTTGGAGTGCTCTTGGGCGCTCTTGGGGCCGTCTTGGGGCTCTTTTTGGGCTCTCTTGGGGCCCTCTTGGGCCATCTTGGAGCCATCTCCAGGCCTCGGATGGCCAACGGAAGCGAAAAGGCGAGAAAGCAAAAATCATTGATTTTCCTTAGGTTTTGGGACGATTTTGGCCTCTTCGGGGCCTCCTTGGGGAGCTGTTTGGCCACTTGGAGTTATCTTGGGGCCGGCTTTGGGCTTCTTGGAACCATCTTAGGAGCCATCGTGAGCGATCTTGCGCTATCTTGAGCCATCTTGGAGCTCATCTTGGGTTCTCTGAGGCGCTCTTGGAGCCGTCTTGGGCCATCTGGGACGCTCTACCTACCCGCGGCCCCCCCCGTCCAGGTCCAGGGGAGGGGGTAGGGGGAGGGGTAAACCCCTCCCCAAGGGGGAAGAGGGAGGGGTGGAAGAGGATCTGCTCTAGACCACCTACGCCCAGAGGGCTGGTGGGATTCGGGGGGAGCACAGGAAAGCCGAAGAGCGCTCGGACCAGCGCGGTGAGCCGACGCGATCGGCGCGCCTGTGTGACCGAGCTGCTCCAGGCGTTCGCCGCGAGCCGGCGCCTATGACGTGGCGAGCAGGGCTGCTGACGGCTTTGAGGGCCTCGCGCCCGCGCCTGCCTGAATTTGGCGCCGTCGGAGATAGGTCCCGATGGTGCTACGTCTGCCCTGGCCGGCCGCTGCGGCTGGGCCGCCGGGGGGGGGGAGTCGTTACCATACGCGCCCATCCAGGGCTTGACCCTCTGTGAGCGGCTTTCTGGGTCCTGCGGGTGTCGTCAGGGTCCGCGGGGGGTCCAGGGCTCATTTCGATTCCTCCGATTCGGTCCGATTTCGATGCATTGCGATTCCGATTCGATTCGATCCCGATTCGATTCGATTCCGATTCGATTCGATTCCGATTCGATCCGATTCCGATTCCGATTCCGATTCCGATTCGATTCGATTTCGATGGATTTCGATTCCTCCGATTCGATTCGATTTCGATGGATTCCGATTCCGATTCGATTCGACTCGGGATCCCGATGTGGGTTCCGATTTCTCACTGGAGGCTTACAAGCCTGCAGATGTCCGCCGATTCGGCTTTCCCGACTCGGCTGCCGATGTCCGCCGATCCGATGCACGTCGATCGCCGACCCGACTTATCACTTACAGTCAACCCACATAGTACGGATGGGCAGCATTCCCGAGGGCACCCTTGCATCCTTGCCTCCTCGGTCCATCCTTGGCCGCTTTCGCTGGCCAATCTCGTTCGAAAAGCGTTAACGTGGCCCTCCAGGGCCCTTGCATCCTTACCGCGCATCCTTACTATACGGGTTAACGGTATCGATTCGATTCTGGGCTCTCCTGGGGTCGCGGGGGGTCGAGGTGTCGGGGCAGACGACACGGAGACTGGGGGGAGGGGGGGGGGAGGTTGCGAAAACTGCTGCATGCAGCCGGTTTCGGCATCGTCGCCACGCTCCTCTCCTCGATGTTGTGCGGCCGCCTTCGGCGTTGGGAGGCGCCGACATATCCAGCGGCATACAGCAAATCTGCCAATCACCCCCTGGGCCAAGGTTCACATCGTCCGCCGCCGCATGTCGTCAGGGCCGGCGCTACCGCGACATCCGTCGCGCCACCTCTCGCGTCAAGCGCTTCTTGAAGCTCTCAGTGGCTCCTTCCTGCGTCCAAGAGAGGTTGCTACTGCCGAGCCCCGAAGGGTGTAATGCCCGCCCCCTGGGCTGTCTACCCTTGCGTGTTCCACCTGCTGGCTGTCCCCCTTTCTCGTCTGCCCCCGCAGCGTTCGACCGCGCCTCCCCTCCTCTTCTCAGGCCGGGTATTGGCCTTTGGATTCTGGGTGGCATCGGCGCCCACCGCTGCCGGGGAATTGTCTTGAGGTGCTTCGCCGTTTGGGATTTTTTTCTTGGGCCCTCCATGGGTTCGGGGACCGTTAACAAAAGACGCGCGGTGAAGAGTTGGTCCCGGAGGAAGGCCCCAGGGTCCAGGACTCGCTTCCTTCATGCCCAAGGGGGGCTGTACGGACGCTCGGTGGAGGAGTATTTTCCTCCCCCCCTCAGGCTCGGGGTGATGAACCAGTACGGCGTCACCAGGTACACCAGCGAGGAGCTGCATAAAACGCACTCCAAGAAGTTCTACTGGCCTGACTCTGCCAACCGCGATCGCTACGACTTCACCGGTGCCTTGGACCTCACCGAGAACATATCCTGGGGCTGGCACCACCCGAACGGTGTCTACAACACTATTCCGGTGGGCGCCCCCCTCATCGACGGCGACCAGAACATCTACCTCGGCTCGGACGACGCCGTGCGAAAATTCAGCGCCTCTGGCGACCTCCTGTGGAGCTATGCCCCCCGAGGCCAGCTCGCTGCCGCGCCCACCCTGTTGGGGGCCACCGCCGGTGACTCGGACCGGGAGGGCGTGGCGTTCTCCAGGGACGAGGATCGAGCGACGCCAACTGCTCACCTCACCGATCCTGGCTGGGACGATCCTGGGCCCAGTACCAGTGCATATGCCCCCAAAGCCAGGAGGGCGCATAGACAGCTCCTGGGCCAATAACAGGCTTGGCCAGGGGCGGAGACTGCGTTCGAGAACTTCGGGTTAGCGCGTCGCTCCGGCTGCTCTGGCCCACCACGCGTCGGCGCGACACGCTATCCGTTTCCCTGCCGCTCAGCGTCAACGTCATGAGTTTCTCCGAGCCTCCCGCCCCGCGGAGCGGAGCGACACGCTATCCGCTCGCAAGGCATAGCGTGTCGCCGGGGCCGCCGCCGCGGCACGCTATGGAACAGTTCGGACCGCGTGCAGATCTCCCCCCTCCCGCCTCCTCTCCTCAAGGGAGGAGAAAAACACCCAGACCCTGACAGTTGGCGTTTACTGAAAAGGCCCTGGGCGTTTACTGAACAGCCCTGCCCTGTTCGATTCCTTCCTGGGGGCGCTTACTCAACGGCTTCGCTTGTCGGGCTGACTATTCTCAGGAGGGAAAGAAACACACAGACACAATGAATCGTCGATCCCCCAGAAAATATGGGAAAATATGGGAAGTGGGGGGAAGACAGAAACCCAGAAAACATGGAAAAATATAGGGCATCCTGTTATTTGTGGGTATGTATCTGTGTGTCCTTGGGCCCCTTGATATTTTGTGGGTTGGTTTTCTGCCCTCTGTCCCCCCTCCAGCGGCCGCCCTCTGCTGCTCCTCCCCTCTTGCGCGCGGGACAGTTCGCAGCTCCGCAGCCCGCGCTTGCTCCGCGCGCGAGCGGAGCGCCTCTCGCCGCAGCCCGCGACCAAACAATCAGGAGGGAAAGAAACACACAGACACAATTCACCGACGACTCCCAGGAAAATATGTAAGAATATGGGAAGTGGGGGGAAGGGCAAAACCCGACAAATATGGGAAAATATGGGGAATCTCTTTGTTTGTGTGTATTTATTTGTGTGTCCCAGGGCCCCTTCAAACAAGTGCACCAGATCTTGCCACGTGATCGTTTTCTTATTCACCGTTTTGCCGATCGGCGCGGGCCCTCGCACCCCCCCCGACCTCATGGAGTAGATCTTGGCTGTGTTGGACGCCTGTTCGAGCAGGTGGAGTCCTCCCCCATTGGACGCGCTGCTGCAGACAGTCGTATGGAGCAGAGGTCCGGAGCCAGACCCCCCCCCGCGCGTTCCCCCCCTTTCCGACCACTGCCGAAACGCCGAATCAGAAAGCGCTCACCGGCATCTGCTCCACGGGCGAGCGGTGCGCCTTTCGTCGCAGCCAGACCCCCCTTCCCGCGCGTTCCCCCCCTTTCCGACCACTGCCGAGACGCCGAAGAAGAAAACGCTCACCCGCATCTGCTCCACGGGCGAGCGGTGCGCCGTTCGTCGCGGCCCGCGACGCAACGAGTGCACAGAGTTCGCCACCCCGCAGGGCCTCCTCCTCCTCCTCCGCCTCCTCCTCCTCCGCCTCCTCCTCCTCCTCCTCCTCCTCCTCCCCGCGCTCCCCCGACCTCACCCTCAGCCCCCTCCTCCGCCTCCTTCCACCCCCCCTCCTCCTCCTCCTCCTCCTCCTCCTCCTCCTCCTCCTCCTTCTCCTCCTCCTCCTCCTCCTCCTCCTCCTCCTCCTCCTCCTCCTCCCCGTGCCGAAGGTGAGCATGGCCCCAGTGTCGAGCATTCAGGGAGGACGTACGGGGCGGCCTGTAAGGAGACACACACACACACAAGAACACACAGTCTCCGATGAGCACCTCCCTTGAGCTCGCTGGGGTTTCGCCACCGGGGCGACACAGGCCAAGGGGGGTCATTTGGGCTGGCCCCAAGACCCAAACAACCCCCCAATGGGGCTCCACCACCCCATGCACATACAATATAGCGACAACTTGCTCACATGGCGCCACAACTGTTGGCCCGTAGTACCCCCTTTGGCAGGTCGCCTGGGCGGTCGTTTCTGTACTGGGTACGCCACCACGGCGTTATAAACCAGGGGGCTTGTTCGGGCTGCTCCATTGGCCCGAAGACCCCCCCAGCACCGGGGCTATCACTACGGTCGTTTTCCTTTGTGGGTGCGCCAACAAGGCGCCACAAACCAGGGGGGGTGTTCGGGCTGCTCCTTTGGCCCGAAGGACCCCCCCAAACTGGTGTCCACCACCATGCGCACTGTAACCTACGTAGGTGCCCTTGTCGGTTGTCGGTTGCGCCATGAAGGTGCCACACACCACCTCGCGACGGCCCCGCTGTCGGATGATCAAGGTCACAGGGGTTGTTCGGGCTGTTCCCTTAGCCTTCAACCCCCCTTCAATGCAACCACTACCACGGGCGGACGTTCTGTGTTCTGGGTGCGCCCACAAGGCGCCACAGACCAGGGGGGGTGTTTCGGGCTGTTCCCGTAGCCCCAAGGACCCCCCAAAACGGAGTCCAACACCATGTGCACTGTAGTCTGCGCAGGCGCCCCCGTTGGCTGTGGGTTGCGCCATCAAGGCTCCACACGCCACCATGGACGCTTAGTCTCCTGACGGCCCCGCCGTTGGATGCTTAAGAGCGTCGTCAAGGAACCGCCAGTCAGGTGGTTAGTTCGGGCTATTCCCTCGGCCCGAAGACCCCCCCCCGCACCAGAGCTCCCACCACGAGCGGTCATGTTCTGTTCTGGGTACACCAACAAGGCGCCACAAGCCAGGGGGGGGTGTTCGGGCTGTTCCTCTGGCCCGAAGGACCCCCCCCAAGCGGTGGACACCACTGTGCACACTATAGAGCCTATGTAGGCGCCCTTGTCGGTTGTCGGTTGCTTGCGTCCTCAAGGCGCCACACGCCACCATGGCAACCTCAGGGTAACGATCGGTTCGTCTTCGGCTCTTCGTTTTCTTCGCTGGTCTTTGTCAGGCACCCGTGCATCATTGGTTTACCTTTCAGGGGGTCGGGTCCTTACCTTTCGGCTTTCAGAGGCCTCTGGAAGAGGTGGCGGGCCGAAGGGAAGGGCTGCCGCGCCCTGCCCCTCCAGAGGTCCACGGGCGGGCACGAACAGCCAGAGCCGAGCCCGAATTCCCGCTGCGCCACCAGCGCCGACGCCTTTGACCTTCTGTTGTGCTTTAGGCCACCTGCGCCCGGTGGGTTAGCAGGTGTTTTTTGGCCTCTGCAGGCCTCCTGGGCTCTAGGCTGTTCTTGGTGGTCTGTTTCATCAGGAGGGAAAAAACACACAGACACAATGAATCGTCGATTCCCCAGAAAATATGGGAAAATATGGGCAGTGGGGGGGAAGACAGAAACACTGAAAATATGGGAAACTATGGAGAATCCTTCTGTTTGTGTGTATTTATTTGTGTGTGTCCTGGGGCCCCTTCATTTGAGTTGTGTGTTGCCTGTCGCGTGATCGCGCCGGTGCCGGTTGCGAAATGCGCTCTCGTCCTCTTAGGATATGGCACCGCCTCGTGGCATTCTTTTTACAGGTTCCACTGGGCGGCTGCTGCTTCTCCGCAGGGTGTGGCAGGGACTCTCCAAGAAGCTCGTCTTGCAGTCTACGGCATCGCACATTCTCTGTCGCTGGGATCTCCCTCCTCCTCCTCCTCCTCCTCCTCCTCCTCCTCCTCCTCCTCCTCCTCCTCCTCCTCCTCCTCCCCCAACTCCTCCTCCTCCTCCTGCTCCTCTCTCCTCCTCCTCTCTCCTCCTCCTCTCTCCTCCTCCTCCTCCTCCTCCTCCTCCTCCTCCTCCTCCTCCTCCTCCTCCTCCGATCCCTCGCCGCACCGACTCCGTGGCACTTTGATGTGCTTGGCGTGTGCGTGTGTGTGTGAAGGGGGACAGGATTTGACCCCCCCGTGCTGCAGGCGTTGGGGTAAGGTGCGTTTACATTCCCCCTTCCTCCTCGTCCTCCCCCTCCTGTCTTTTTCTTCTCTCCTTGGTTCTCCTCCATTGCTCTCTCTCTCTCTCTCTCGTTCCCTTTTTCCTCCGGTCCCTCGCCGCACCGACTCCGTGGCATTTTGATGTGCTCGGTGTGTGTGTGTGATGAATTAATATGTTGGGATGTTGACAAACACCTTCTGTTCGTCAAGACACCTACGCCCAGTGGGCTAGCAGGTTTAGTTGGGCCTGTGGAAGCCTCCTGGGCTGTGCAAGCGCTTGGTTATTCTGTCTTTGGACAAGGGGTGGTGTTTTTTCTTCGGCCCACCCAGAAACGAGCGGCATCGGGGGGCATGGTTCGTGCGCGTGCATTGTGGCCCCTATGCCCAAGGGAAGCGCTCAAAGAATGGGCCCCTGTGCCCAAAGGGAGCGTTCAAAGAGGTTCGGGCAGACACGGTGACGTCTACCCAGCCGGCCCTAACAACATTCGGTATCGCACATCCTCTGCAACTGTCACATGGTTGCTACCCTAATCGCCGACGCTGGGGTCGATGGGGGGCCAGGTGGTGCTTGCCCTCGCTTGGCTGGTTCCGGCTTGTGGGGCGGGGGCCACATTACTCACGGGTCGCGGGCGGTCTTGAGGAGACGGTGGGGGGCAGAAAGGGCCACACTTTGCTGCAACGCCCCTGGGGGGTAATCCGTGACACCTTCAAGCCCCAAGTTCCGCCCTCACTGGAGGCCCGCTGCAGCCTCCCAGCGACCGCGTCTCTCTCTCTCTCTCTGGAGGAGCGGGAGGAGTGGAGGTTGAGGTAGGGGGCTATGGACACGGCTGGCGGCGGATTGAGGTTCCCACAGCTTGCATGGAGTCGAAACTGTGTACTACTTTGGGGGCGGACGGGGGCTCCCACAGCTTGCGGGCAGTCGGATTTGTGTACGAGTCTGTTTTGGTGCTTCTCGGCGAACGCGCGTGCGTCTTCTGGGCGAACAGTCGGAGGTCCTCAACTACCAGACAGTGCTGCGCCTCCGAAGGCCTCATGAGACCTTCGGAGAAAATAAATCGCACCCCATTCGCAAGCCTCAGCTATCCCACGTGACGGGATTGCTCATGTGTACTCAGCTGTGGCAAGGAGCTAACTGATTCATCATCCTTCGGCAACTGCTATCCCACTCGGTGGGCTTGCCCGCGTCTGTGCGAGCAGGTCCCCCCTGTCAACCGTAGGGTCGGCATTGACCGTGGCAACCTGAACGGTCGCTGTCCAACTGGCTTCACCCTTAACTTCCTGTGGGGTGAGTTGTGAGGGAAGCGCTCACTTACGGCCCTGGACGTTTCCCATGAGAGGACTTTTCGCACCGCACACATAATGCTCAGGCGAGGGGTTTCCCCACGATTCTGCGACACCCCCCTCGCAGCATGCCGCAGCTTTTGTGGGGGGCCCAAAAAGGCTGGCAGAAAAGAGTAACATGGGAAACTTTGAGCCCCCATGGCGCACCAGTACAGCCCAACTGGCTGTCCTGCCGAAGTATGGTTGAAACCAAGTCAGGGCGCACTGGCTTCTGCCATACTCGCGACTTTAAGGATGAGACCTCCAAAAGTCCTTGAACATATCACTCCTGCAGGGGCAAGCTGCTTTAGGCAGTGGGTTGCGGAACAATGCACTTCTGAAGGTCGCCTAATCCTTAAATATGGGTTTAGGTTAGGTGCCTTGGAAGCCTACAGCGTACTCGGCAGTCCTCCTCCTCCTCCTCCTCCTCCTCCTCTTCCTCCTCCGTCTCCTCCTGCTCCTCCTCGCAGACCTTCACCCCCGCAGGAGACCCAGCTGGAGGACACGCTGTCGCCGGAGGACCCGAAGCCTGAGGGCGCGGCTGGCCTCGTGGCCGGGCACGCCAGCGGCGCGGCTCTCGGGCTCTTCCGCGAGCTCCGGGTGGGCGACAGGGTCAAGGTGAAGCCGGGCGTGGGGTACCACGCGGACGGCAAGGAGTACTACAAGGCCTCCTCCTGCTCCTCCTCCTCCTCCTCCTTCTCCTCCTTCTCCTCCTCCTCCTATTCCTCCTCCTCCCCCTCCTCCTCCTCTTCCTCCTCCTCCTCCTCCCCCCTCCTCTTCCTCCTCCTATTCTCCTCCTCCCCCTCCTCCTCCTCCTCCTCTCTCCTCCTCCTCCCTCCTATTCCTCCTCCTCCCCCTCCTCCTCCTCCTCCTCCTCCCTCCTCCCCTCCTCCTCCCTCCCCTCCTCCTCCTCCTCCTCCTCCCCCCTCCTCCTCCTCCTCCTCCTCCTCCTCCTCCTCCTCCTCCTCCTCCTCCTCCTCCTCCTCCTCCTCCTCGCCCCTCCTCCCCTCGGACTCATGGCCGATCCCCGCCGTCGGTCGGGGGCCCGTCTGCTCTGGACGGAGCCATGACGAGGATGCATCGTTTCCAGAGCGCTCCGGAACGCTCTCAGAGCGTTCCGGAACGCTCTGAGTCAGAGGAGGAAAAGGTACCCATACCTGTACCCTTTCTTCGGTTTCCCCTTTTTGGACCTCCTCGGAGGCCCTCGTCGTCACCGCTGGATTCGCATCGAAATTATGGTCAGAACGCACCCTGTTCGGGCTCGACCGGTAGTTACGCTGTAAGCTAGGCTTCCAAGACAGGTGTAACTTAAGCGTTCGAAGCACGCTCGAACAGGTATACAGCAGGTACATATTGTTGTTTATCCACACATGCTCAGCGATTTCGGTGGCTCGTCAAGGACCGCTGCCGCCTTGGATAAATGGAAGCGCAAAGGCTTTATCACAAGAGTCGTAATCCTGATACGCATGCTGTGAAGCAACACCACCAACACGGCCCGCCGTCGGATGGTTGCCCTGGGCGCCAGAGGGGGCCCTGGAACGGCCAAGCAGACGCCCAGGGAGGCCAGAAAGCAGTTGCGAAGCCGTCTGCCCCCGCACGCTCTTGGGGCCGCCAGAGCGTCTGTTTGACTACTCTTGGTGCCCCTTCTGGTGGCCGACCGATTGCCGGCCATGCGCACGGTCAATTTGTGTGCACCTTCCAGCGTTGGCGTCTCTCAATGCGTCGCCGATCACCGACCCCCAAATAGTACAATGCATAGTTGTCAGATCTGATGTCTTGATGTGTTTCAATGCAGTCGAGCATTTGATCAAGACATTTCCTCTCGAACATTTGTGCCCGCGTTTCTTAACCAACTTGCCTGGAAGCTGTCCCAGCTTCTTGAGCACGAGTTCGCTTCTCCAGCGTTGTCAACACCAGCTGGCCCATGAGGGGTTCCAGGAACTTCCGCAGAGCTGGCCCAGGTTTCTGACTTGCTGATGTTCTTGATCAGATCTTCGGCCCTACGGGGTCCCAGGAAATCTCGACCCCTCGTCGGGGACCGGCTCTTCATCCCGCACCCTTCTGTTCACCGCCGTTGGGGCTCTGCGAGGGCTTCTTGGAGGCAGAGGGACGGCCCGAGCGGCTGAAAACGTGGGATCTCGGGGTACGGTGCGTGGGCACCTGCGGGGCTAGACAACAAACCCCACCACTGCCTCCCTCGCCCCCTCCCCCTCCCACGAAGGAGGAGAGGAAGAGAAGGGACGAGGAGGGAGGAGGAATGGAGGTGGTGACGAGGAGGGACGAAGAGGGAGGAAGAGAAGGGACGAGGGGGGACGAGGAGGGACGAGGAGGGAGGAGGAGAAGGGACGAGGGGGGACGAGGAGGGAGAAGGAGGACGAGGAGGGAGGAAGAGAAGGGACGAGGAGGGAGGAGGAGGTATAGTCTGGGAACCTGCAGCGCCGTTCTCGTGACCAGGCAGGGGACCTCGGCCAGATCGAGAAGGTCGACGCCGCTGGGGGCGAGCCGAGGGCCACGATCCGCTGGCAGCGCAGCGGCCACCGCAGCGTCGCGGGCCTCTCCGCCCTGAGCAAGCGGTTCCTCCTACTCCTCCGTCTTCCCCTCCCCCTCCTCCTCCTCCTCCTCCTCCTCCTCCTCCTCCTCCTCCTCCCCTCCCTCCTCCCCTCCTCCTCCTCCTCCTCCTCCTCCTCCGCTCCTCCTCCTCTCCTCTCCTCCTCTCTCCTCCTATCTCCTCCTCCCCTCCTCCTCCCCCTCCTCCTCCTCCTATCTCCTCCCCCCCTCCTCCTCCCCCTCCTCCTCCGGCTCCTCCTCCTCCCCTCCTCCGATTTCCTCCTCCTCCTCCTCCTCCTCCTCCTCCTCCTCCTCCTCCAAGGTTCGTGAGCATCCGGGCGCCGAGGAGGTCCGCGCCTGCCATGCTGGTGGGCAGCACTACCTCCGGCTACGTGTTCGCTCTGGAGCTGTCGACCGGGGAGGATCGGGTCGGGCGCAAGCCAGGGGGGGTGGGGGGAGGGAAAAAGGGGGCACATATAGTGTTGCTGCGGGCAGCCTTTTTCGGCCCCGCCGCCACGCGCCTCGCCTCGATGCATGGGCGCCTCCTGGCGCCGGGAGGCGCCAGGTAATCTCAGCAATTTGAGCTGCTTTGCTGCCCCTTCCCCTTTATGCTCACCTCCCCTTTCGTCTGACGCGGAAGGAGCTGTGGGCGACACAGGCTTCGGAACAGATCGCTGGCGTGAAGGGCGCGGTCTCTGGCAGGGGCGGGGTAGTGGTGGTCGCGACCGACCGCTGCAAGGACCACCTCTGCTACCGCTACCGCAACAGCTCCAACCCCCTGACTCCTGGCAACAACGTGCAGCATCGTCTAATCGATTCCCATCCCCACCCCACCGGGCCATGGCATTTCAGCCTTACCAGCACGCCCCCCAAGCTGGGGAACCGGCTGGGATGGGGCTCGGTCGAACGATGCTCAAAGGTCGTCCGGGGCATCAGCGCCTCGGACGGCAGCTCCCTTTGGCAGTACGCGACCTTCTCCCCGGTGTGGAACTTTGTGCCGCAGTATCACACGAGCGACGGGACCGTGATGTTCAGTGACCAGGAGGGCAACACGTACTGCCTGGACCTCGAGACCGGGGTCGAGAGGTGGATGACCGAGGGGGCCATGGGCACGTACACCCAAGCCAACGCCGTGTACGATCCCTTGACGAACCTCATCTTCGCCATGGGCGTACAGGAGTCGCAGAACACAGCAGCACAGCATATGAATATAGCACATGTCAAACAAGTTGTTTCATACGTTGCACATACATGTATGGATCGAGAGCAGGGGAAGAAGGTGGTACACTGTTCGGCTTTCTCCTGAGACGACGGTGCATGTCCTAGTTCACTTCGGCTTGGCGGAGTAGGACAAGCTTATTGAATACACTAGTGTGGTTCCTCTCTCTCTATATATCTCTCTATCGCACGTCGGCGAGTTCCCCCTTGTCACTGAGCAGAGAGAGCACGCAGGAGGAGGGGAGGACGGAGGATGTATGAGGACGGACGAGGGAGGAGGAGGAGGACGAGGAGGAGGAGGAGGAGGAGGAAGAGGAGGAGGAGGAGGAGGACCAGTTGCAAAGGAATGGGCTGCCAACGCAATTCCAAGAAACCACCATCTCGGCCGCGGCTCATGCACGATGGCGGGATTGGCTGACGGCCACTCAATAGAGCTCTGACTAACCATACACTTCCATCATTCTCCTCCTCTTCGTCCTCCCCCGTCCTCCCCCTCCTCCTCCTCCTCCTCCTCCTCCTCCTCCTCCTCCTCCTCCTCCTCCTCTAAATCCTCCTCTTCCTCCTCCGCTTCCTCCTCCGCGCAGGGTAGGCGTTGCATGTTTGCTCTGCTGCATGACCGCACGGCCGCCTTCGACGACGGCGAGCCGACCTGCTTGCAGATCCGAAAACGAAATACAGCCTTCGAGCTCTGAATCAAAGAGGCAACGGGCTGAAAGCGCCCGTTGCCCTCCGCCTCCCGCAAACAAACAAGAACAAGGGGACCGAAGACGCCGCAAAAGACGGTCAGGGGATAATGATACACCTCGTCGCCCAACGACTGGCTCCCAACTGAGAGGGCGCGGTTCGTAGGGAGACGGTCGTTTCACGTCGACTGTGAGGTCCTTCCCTGCTATCAACCCCTGCCTAATGAGCTGGCATGCGATACAGGGTTCGCTTCCCAGGGAGTGCGGGCACATCGCCACCATGGGACTCACGGGTCACTTGGCTCCGCCTCCCAACCGAATGCGCAATTCCCATGCTTGGTGCCCATCCCCAGGTCACGGGGCGAGCTAAAGCGCCGCTGCCGCGGGCAAAATGCGACGTGGGTGGTTCCAGAAAGGCGAGAGCTGGTTTACACGATGATGTGTCGATGGCGGCAGTGAGCATGACATTCCTAACCGCAATGACTTCGCTTCACGTCTTAGCATATTCATTCAACTCTGCCGGGCCAGCATGAACAGGCACGGCGACGACGTAATTCTTCATGCATGTGATTCTCTGCGCATGCGCATCATGGATGTGATTGGGCAGCTTCGTTTCCTTTGGTTTCCGCAACTGTGGCACATTGACACCCCGGTCCAGCTCGCACCAACGATCTTCCTCAGCGTCGTATCCCATCACCAAACTGGCGATCGCCTGCTTTATTTCGTGCCTGGAGCAAGCCCAGACGCTTGGGCGCAGCCGCACGCATGAATTGAACATCGCAGCGCATCGCGCTGGAAGGCATCGGCAGCGAACCCCTGCGACAACACACTGCAGCGCGTGCCAACGTATCGTTGCTCCTGCGACGTTCCTGTTTTGCACCGCTTTGCTTTTCGTTTCGCATTATAACGATCATCAACGCGCTCTCCCTCGACGGCGTTTGTGGCGTCCGTCTTATACATAGTGCACGGAGACAACCGCAATCCCAAAGGCAGCATGCCTTGACCAGTTACCTGACGCCGCGTAAAACCTCCCTCGCGCCGATAACCGCAGTATACATCGACCCACGCGAGATCAAACTCTTACCTGGTACGCTTGGAATTCGAGGCGCCGAAACGGCATGTTGGCATACGCCTGCAGGATGGACGCCGTTTGACCAAGCCGGTCCGACAAATGTCCGTAAATATGCGCAACACATGCATTCGTTTTGTCGGCTCCTTTGGTGGTGTCTTCAACAAGGGGCGTCTGGTACACCGTTCGAGGATGCGATCCAATTATTGCAACGCACAAATGCAAGGTTTCGCAATCCACTTCTGATCATCATCTTGCAGCAAACGGTGTAACGTATCAACAATGTTCCGTTCCGTTGCAAAGCCGTCGGCAGATATGTATTGCAGCGTCGTCTTCTCAGCATCCTCGCCAGTCATAGTCGCATCGGCAGCAACCAACACAATGACAAACATGAGAACATGAGAACGTGCAGCCCTCATTGAGATATCTCCGCATCAAAACAGATAATAGGACAGCTTCTTTCCAATAGGCTGCCTTCACGCGGCATACACTTGTTTGAAATATCAGATCCGGCGGGTTTACGCAAGCAGGTGGATGATTCAATTTCGGCTTCCCAGATATTTGGTCGCCAGGAAGCGGCGTCGCGTCCACAGTCGCTTCGGACAGCCTTGGATAAACCATCATGGTTCTCCCCATGCTCGTGTATATTTCAACCCATGCGTTTTCAATAGAGCATGGCCTTCTTGTGTCAAATTGCCATCAGCACCGCAGCATCCTATAGACAGTGCGTGTTTGAATGCACAATGAATATATACAGTGGCAAAGAATGGTCTGTTCAGTGGCCCCCATTGTTTGGTGCAGCGTTCGTATGTTCGTTTTACGGCAACCATTTCAAAACACCGCTGAATGCATCTGCAACTCCGCCTGGGCCACAATGGCTACGGAGTTCACGGGTCCTGCTCTGTCGCAGCAGATTGCCTCGAGGAAGTGGCTCCGTCGCGCAGGAGCATTGCCTCAGGTTGCAAGCAAACGAAGTGCCAATCTGCATCGCAGCAAAAGGAATAATCAAGTGGATCTGCGATGATAGTGGTGGGATGACACGTTGCGGAGGAAGGAACAGTGAAGGGCTTAATCCACGCATAAGGGAGAGCAAACCCTAGGGGAAAACCGTGGAACCAAGGCTTTCGGAGAAACACAAAAAAACAACCAACCAGAAATATCATAAACACCGTGACAATTCACATCAACTATTTGTATAACAATATGTTTTAAGACCAAGGTTTCGCTAAACTTTGATGTCCTGGTTTCTTCATTGAGAACTGATGGTTCCTCTGAATGTTCATGCGTTTGTTTGATTTTCTGGTTTTCAACCTTTTCTGATTTTTGTTTCCGAGCAAAAATCAGCAGAACCAAGGTTTTCGGAACAATCCGGACATTCGGAACAATCGTTTTTTCTCGGAAGAGAAACGGAAAATTGTGAACATTCAAAGAAACCGTTGGTTTTGTTTAAAGAACATTCGGAAATCCAACCAACCAACAAAGGTTTCGTTCAACTTGTTTTTCTGTTTTTCTTAGAAAACCAATGGCTTATTTGATGTCTCACGTTTTTGTGCCTGATTGTTCTGAATTTTTGTGTTGTTGTCTGGGTTTGTCCGAAAGTCTTGGTTCTTTAATTTGTTCCCAGGGTTAGCTTTCCAGTATGGTATTCGCAATGTCTTGGGTATCTTCCTCACTCTCTTTCCCTTCCTCCCTCCCTACCTCCCTCTTCGTCCTGTATCGCCCACCGCACAACATAGGATACCGCGCATCACCGAATCGGACACCTCCACGACATCCAACTGCTTGAAACGCCCACACCGTGTACCACCCTACTTCCATTACCTCGTATGGGTCATGTCTGCATGCAGGTATGTATGAATGTATGTGTGTATGCGTGTATGTGTAGGTATGTACGTATATATACACGCATGCACGTACGTATGTATGTATGTGTATGTCTGTATGTATGTGCGTATATGTATGTTGTACATGACTATGTATGTGTGTATGTATGTATGTATGTATGTTTGTATGTATGTATGTATATATGTATGTAGGTATGTGTGTATGTATGTCTGTATGTATGTATGTATGCATGTATGTATATATACATGTATGTGTATGTATGTATGCATGTATGTATGTATGTATGCATGTATGTATAGATGTAGGTGCATGTATGTATGTTTGCATGCATGCATGTATGTAGGTATGTAGGTACATGTGTGCATGCATGTGTGTATGTATGTATGTGTGTATATATGCATGTATGTATGTATGAGTGTATGTATGTATGTATGTGTGTTTGTGTGTATGTATGGATGCATGCATGTATGTATGCATGCATGCATGTATGCATGCATGCATGCATGCTGTATGTATGTATGTATGCATGTATGCGTGTATGTATGTATGTATCGATGTATGTATGTATGTATTTATTTATATATGTATGTATGGATGCATGTATTTATGTGCATGCATGCATGCATGCATGCATGTCTGTCTGTCTGTCTGTCTGTCTGTCTGTCTGTCTGTCTGTATGTATGTATGTATGTATGTATGTATGTATGTGTCTGCCAAACAGAAGATTGCGCTACCGCATGAGCATGCCTTTTTTTCCCGAGGTCCGCGCAGATATCCTGGACCGGTGCTGGACCCCCCTCCCTGGCACGCGGAGCTCGCCAGAGGCGGCGCCGGAGGCGCCGCCATGAGGCCCAGCAGCGACCTGAGAAATCCGCGCTGAGTTCCAACGATGTGTATAACCTTATGCTGGTTGATGCTCGTCAATATCAAAGGATAGGGGGCCACATGCGAACCCTACCCCTGCCCCCCACGACTTCTAAGGGGGAGGGTGGGGTTCACTTCGTTCGGGAGCTCCCGAGCGAAGTGAACCCCACCCTGCCCCTTAGAAATTGTGGGGGGTAGGGGTAGGTACCGCATGGGGAGGAGAGGCCACTCCGACCCCCATCCCTGGCGCTTATTTTTCAACTCCCCTGGGCGTTCACTGGCCAGCCTTGCCCTGTTGGATCATTCCCCGAGGTGCGCTCACCAAGGGACTTCCCTCGTCGTGCTGCTTCTGCCCTCTTCGCCCACACACCCAACGTCGTGTCGTGATGTTCTCATGACGTGTCGGGGCCCAAAGAATATACACCACCACCACGTCGATTCCTCCTCTCTCGTCTTTCCAGCGAGAGGGAGGGGGGGAGGGAGGTGGTGGTGGTGTATATTTTTGGGCCCCCTAACGTGCACCCCCAGCGGTGTTGACCCTCTCCCTGGGGCAGATTCTTCATCCCAAGTCGTTTCCTGACGGCCCCAAGGCCCAGTCAGCGCCCCCAGAGGCCGAACATCGCAAAACGCTTTCCGTCGTGACTTCTAAAGCGCTGTCCGTCGTGGCCTCTTCATGTCCCGAGGGGGCCTGGGCTATAGGAGGGTGCTTCAGGGTGCTTCTCCTGCCCTCCTCCTGCAGGCGTACGACAGCAAGTACTGCAACCCGTTCCCCGCCCCCGGCGTCTTGCCCGAGTGCGGCACGTGGCCGGGCTCGCCCGGCTGGGTACGCGCGCTCAACGCGAGCTCCGGCCGCGCGCGCTGGGAGCGTGAGACCCCGGAGCCCCCAGCCAGCGCCGCCGTCGGCACTCGAGGGAAAAATCCACTAGGCCTCCCGGGCTCGGCGGGCCCTGGAAGCCCAGACCCCCTCGGGTCATGACCAAGATCATGACGGGAGGTTTGTCCCCATGTTCGGCCTCGGGGTGGCCCTTGGGCCTCGGGACCCTCAAAAAACGTCTCGGGACGAAAAGAGGACCATGGGGCGCCTGGTAAGCAGCGCGGCAACGCCCTCCTTCTCCTCTTCCTCCTCCTCCTCCTCCACCTCCTCCTCCTCCTCCTCTTCCTCTCCCTCCTCCTCCTCCTCCTCCTCCTCCTCCTCCTCCTCCCTCCTTCCTCCTCCTACTTTTGGGGGGCGACTTCATGAAAAGATCGTGCCGTCGGGGGTCTGGGAACGGAAGGGCTGGTTTTTCCACCGCTTCTGCATGGAGCATGGAAGCGGTGAAAGAAGACACGGCAACCGGAGACGACAAACAAATCATCTGGAATTGTAGCCGACGCGGGAACCGGAAAATCAACGGCGACGGAACCGGCCAATGCATCGGCGATGAGGCTCGATGTAAAGGCTGATTTTCTCCACGCCGACGGCGCCGATGCATCGCCGACGCCGCCGACGCATCGCCGATGGATCGGCGATGTATTGTCGATGCATCGGCGATTCGGCGCGATCCTCCGACCCCATCTACGTGGACCCCCTCCAGGAGGCCGCTAATTCAAGGGGCGAGACATCCGAGGCGGGTATCTATCCACCACCGCTCAGGAGATCGGTCTTCGGGGACCTCGGCAGGCGGTGGATATGGATACATTCGGCCCCCCTGGGGCCCAATATATCCACATCCACCGCTTGCTGGGGTCCCAGGCGGTGGATAAGACATATCCCCGCCCCGCGAAACACGACGATTATGACCAAGATGTCGCAGAACATTGTCGACACCGACCCTGGTCATGGTCAATGCCAGCCGTTGCCGATTCGCGAGGAAGGTCCACGAACTGACGTTGACCACGATGCACGGTGTCTCAGATCGACACAGGCGTTTCTGCATTCAGTCTTGGTCATGTTAATCGTTTTCTTTTCGGGGATCAAGTGACGGGGGTCAATGCAAACGGGGGCGAGTCAGAGCGCCGGATCTTGCAGGATCCTGCAAAGCCAGGGTTGCAATGACCCAGGTCAGCGTGCAGAAAACCGCAGGATCCTGCAGGATTCTGTAGGATCTTGACAAGCCTGACTGCCCCGGGTTTGCAGTGACCTGGGTCAGTACATCAGGTTCGCGTCGTGTCGACCGGCGGCGACCCCAGCGCGGGCGTTTAAGGTTGAACGCCGCCGGTGGCCCAGAATCGGCCCGTCGTTGAGCGATCCAGCGTTAATGGAACGGCCGATCGTTCAAGTTTGAACGATCGCCGCGATGTCAGGAACCAACGCCGGGGTCGGCACGACGCGAACCTGCCATAGATCCCCGATGTTTCCCTTCAGGCATGCTGAACAGCCCCCAGTTCCACTCTCGGCTCTCGATGGAGCAAAACTCGGGATGAGAAAAAACACAGACACAATTCATCGTCGATTCCCCAGGAAAGATGGGAACATAGGGGAAGCGGGGGAGAAGACGAAAACCCAGAAGACATGGGGAAACATGGGGAATCCTATTATTTGTGTGTGTATTTATCTGTGTGTCCCAGGGCCCCCTCCAAAAAGCAGCGGCACAAGCATGAGCAGTCGGAGCTCAGCGGGGAGCCCTTGCACTGGCGCCGTGCGCCCCGGGCGGCGCCTCCCGCGCGCCCGTCGGCGCGCTGAGTGCGCCCCGGGAGGGGGGGCCCTGCAGGGCCGATCCAAGAAATCTCCCTCCTCCTCCTCCTCCTCCTCCTCCTCCTCCCTCCTCCCTCCTCCTCCTCCTCCTCCTCCTCCCTCCTCCTCCTCTCCTCCTCCTCCTCCTCCTCCTCCTCCTCCTCCTCCTCCTCCTCCTCCTCCTCCTCCTCCTCCTCCTCCTCCCTCCTCCTGTGCGGACCTCGGACAGCTCATGGCTTGGCAGCTTCTGTTCCTCTAGGCTCGTGGTCGGGCCTGTCCCGCTACACAGGGGGGCTTTCGACGAAAAGTAAAGAATACCCCCAAAATGCCCCAGGAAGGTCAAAAAAGAATCAAAAAATAGTCCCCAGACTTTTTGGGGATCATTTTGGGGGTATTTTTTATTTTTCGTCGAAAATCCCCCTGTAGGGGGACAGGCCCGACTTAACTCTAGGCTCGTGGTCGCCATGGGGCACAACTGCTACTACAACTCCCCCTCCAAGATCTGGGCCGTCGACCCCCCCAACGGCGACATCCGCTGGTCGAAGGATCGGTGGACGTCAGCTATCCACCTCACCGATTCTTGGCCAGGCCCACCTTGGGCCCAGGATCGGTGCATGCGCCCTCCTGGCTTGGCCAGGAAGGTGTGTGTGTGTGTGTTTGTGCGTGCGAATTCATGTGAATATTTACTGTATGTACGGTCTCGGCACCTTGTTCTGCATATCCATCAACCGCTTGTCGTTTGGCATTCCGTCGGCACGCGTTCGGTGGTAATCAGCGTGGCGCTTCCCGCTGTTGGTCTCGGTGTGTTGGGCCAAACGTCCGCATAGTACAAACCATCATCACACGCAAGTTTCCGAGGGATGAGAGCTCGGGAGAGACTCGTTGTCGCCGCGTTCGTCTTTTTCTAGCCGTGCTGCTATTCAAGTCGGACGCGCACGCAGATGGCGACGTCAGAACCCAGAAACGCAATGTTTCCCAATCGCATTTGATTTCGATGATTTACTTGTTTGTTTCAGTGGCTTCCTGTGCAGTTATGAAGTAATGTTTTATTCCACCGCCAATAGCACAGTCCAATTCAGTGATGCTGTGCGTAGCTGTTCGGGGCTTATTGGTCGTTCCTTGTTTCCCCGTGTTTTTTCCCAGCTTTGCCCCAACCTTTGCTCTTTCCATGCTGACAAGGGGTACTTTTCAACACTTGTAATCGCAAGCTGTGGCACCCACGTCGGTCAAACATCAGTGCTCGTATGATACTGGGCACGCACGATCCATTTGTATCTCTAGACATACATATATGTATACATATATGTATATAGTAATATCGTTATTTGCAAATTTAGTTGCATACATATATATATATATATATGTGAGACTGGATGTATATACATATGGTTATGTATATGCAGGTATAAATGTGTGTATGTGTATGTGTAGGTGCGCATGACTATGTATATATATTATGCATTTGTATCTGCATATGTAATTGCTTTTATTTGTGAATGTGTTTACGAATATGTAATTCTGTTGGCACGTGTAAGTGTATGGTTGTGTAAATGTACGCGTGTATGCATATATGTCCGTATGTGTATGTGTAAACGTATATGCATATGTAAATGGTTATGCGTCTGGTTATGCATATGTGTACGCATGTGCACATGTATGTTTATGCATATGTGCATGGTTATGATATGCATATATCCGTAAGGGCTTCGCCCCCTGCCGCCGGCCCCCCTCTGTGAAATTTAGAGTGTCCGTGATGATATGTATGCAGTGTGGCATAGTGGGCAAGCAAGCATGCAGAGTGTATTGACCTCTTGCCGTGCTTATTTGGGCTCAATCCTTTTCAGGGCCCTTGAGCTTGGGCGTATCGGTAGGGGCCATCGCGGGTTCCACTAAGCAGCCATCTTTCGCCATCCATTGCGGATATTATTGAAATCATTGCTGTATCTTCGCTGACATCCAATTCCGCGGTTCTTATTGCACTACGACCCCGCTTTGCAATATTGGGTCTACATTGGTAGCAGGAGCTAATTTGACCACGGCAACGTGCGCGACTTCGCAGAGTCGATAAAAGGCACCTACAAGCTCGTGATTATGACTGACACCTCTCATTTGGAGTTGATTGCGTCGGACACCTCTCATTCGGAGTTGATTGCGTCTGACACCTCTCATTCGGAGTTGCCGCCATGGCGACTACTGGAGGAGCCGCTGCAGCCAGCGGCGAGGACACTAATAGCGGGGGCAAGATCCCTGTACCCGTCTTTGACGGCACGAGCAAGACGATGAAGAAGTTCCGCCAAGAAGTCGCCACCTGGCAGATTGGCACAGAGGTCAAGCTGCACAAGCAGGGCGCGACGCTGTTGTCAAACCTCAAGGGCAAGGCCGAGGAGGCGCGCGACGAGCTCGACCTGGAGACCATCAAGGGCGACGACTCGGTGGAGGTTTTCTTGGAGTGCCTCGGGAAACACTTTCCCGAGATCGAAGTATTGGAGTTACCAGCGCTCCTGGAGACATTCGTTCAGCCGGCATGCATCCGGCACAAGTTTGAGGAGATCCGCGATTTCAGCAATCGCTTCAACAGCATAGCGACGAAGCTGAGAGCTAAGGACATACAGGTGCCCGACGAGGTCATGGCCGACCTGTGCATTAAGGGCGCCCGCCTGCCATCAGAGCGCGCGGCGAGCGTGCTCAACGGCGTGGGCAACAAGTTCAATCCGACGAAGATCCAGGAGCAGCTCATGATTAATTTGCCCAAGGTATCGGTCGCGGGCGGCAGCAGAGAGCATCGCCACGACAAAGGCGGCTACGGAGCTCACAAGAACGACCACAAGAAAGTGTACGCCACGGAGGCCTATGACGAGGCCGAGAACGACGGCGCGTCCACCGACAGCTCCGAGGGCTACGACGACGACCTGCCGGGCGAGCTGCAGGACGTGATAGATGAGGCGGAGGAGCCGGTGGCTTTCTTCACCAAGAAGATGGTGCGCGCCAAGGACAAGCTAATGGAGGCCGAGCAGGCGCGCGGCTACTTCGCTAAGCGAGACGGCGGGCATCCGCCGAAGAAGGGCGATGCCAAGATCGCCAAGATGAAGGCGAGGACGCGCTGCGGAGCTTGCGGCCAAAAGGGCCACCGCCGCGGCGACCCGCAGTGCTCCAAGAAGAAGGGCCCTAACGCGAGGGCCGACATCCCGCGAAATGGAAGTCACAAGACGAACATAACTGCGAACGGCGGGGCCGGCGACGCGCAGGAGCCCCACGTCGCGGAGATGGCGGTCGCTGCGGTCTACCAGCACGAGCAGCCGAGAGCGGCGCGAGATCGGAGGAAGGTCACTTTGGGCAGCGCGTTGCACGACATACCCGAGGAAGTGACGGCCGCCTCGTTCTACATCAACAAGGGCAACTAGTGCCGCATGGCTGCGACGGGTTCGGCGCTGATCTACATCAGCGTCGATGACCTACTCAAGGAGTCGAGCGGCAAGCTGACTTTCGACGCTGCCTGCTCTCGGTGCGTCGGCGGCCTGGACTGTTACAACAACATCGAGAAGAAGCTGGCGGCCTTCAACATCCAGCCGATCGAGTGCCCAGAAAAGGGGCCGTTCCGCTTCGGAGCGTCCAAGGTGGTGTGCAGCCTCAAGGCGGCGCTGATTCTTTGCTCGGTGAATGGCAAGGCCTTCGCCGTGCGCGCGAGCATCGTGCGCAGCGCCGTGCCTGGACTGTTCAGCCGCCAGGCCCAGAGCGAGCTGGGCGTTGTCTACCGCGCAGGGGGCAACAAGCCGGACATCAAGTCCGTCAACGAGCACGGCGTCCAGATGGGTTTGAGCCGCGCCGGACACCCGACGCTCGAGATTACAGGGTTCACGCCAAGCTACAAGCCAGCGTCGGACGTCTCGGACACCAAAACCGAGATCCGGCTGCATCTTTATTTTTCGATTTACCACGCTGAGACAGCCGTGGCCAGCGCCGCCAAGCTGGCAGCGCCCGAGCGCTGCGACCAAGGGGTCGCCTCGGAGGCCGACGAGCTTCAGTCGGAGACTGACTGTGACGAGCTCGACAGCGCTGAATGGTTCGAGCAGCAGGTGCGCCAGGCCATGTGCGCCTACATTCCCGAGCGTCAGTCATCATCGGGGTCGGATGATGAGGCATGGGGAGTTATTCCTACGCCCGCCAGCGCAGCACAGATCATGCAAACCGATCACACAGGACGAGAAGCTAAAGCAGACAGCGACCCTTAGCCAAGACGTGTCCGATTTCAGCAGCAAGCAAGCGGTGGCGAGCTACGAGATCAGCCATCAGCACGGAGTCATCAAACGGCATCATCACCGCAGCCATCCGGCTCGAGGTCATCTCAGGTTCCAGCAGTTTTTTTTTACGACGCGTGCCGTGGCAGATCCAGTCACCGCAGCTTTTCGCGAACCAGCGGCCGGGGTTCATGCCCCCGTCGCAGCGGAAATGCACGACATCTCCCAGGGCGACGAACCCGGAGGCCAGCTGCTCGAATGCTCCCATCCCGCCTGCCGGCGATCTCCAGCATGCGGATGGGGGACCTACAGGCGGAGGTCGACGTGCGACCAGCTCCGCGTCATCCTGCGCGCGCTGAGGGCCGAGGGCCAGGGCAAGAAGGCGCAGGACATCCCCGGGCTCGGCAAGACGCACAAGCACGAGCTCCAAGAGTTGTGCAGGATGAAGGGCATCGATTTCGACCAGCACACGACCGCGCCGGTGCTCAGGCAGCGCCTGAAGGGCTGGAAGGTCGAGAACGCGGTCAGCGGCGCCTCGAGCAACGTGGCCCATCCAAGCTCGCAGATCACGGGGAACGCCAAGATGCGCTTCGGCAAGTACCCGACCGCGGACTACCGCTGGGTGCTCAAGAACGACTTGGGTTACGCGCGTTGGGCGGTGCTGGAGCTGGACAACGGCCGAGCGAGCCCGCCCCTGGCGCGCTTCGGCAGGTGGGCCAAGGCTCGCGGAGCGAAGCCGCTCCAGCCAGAGGAGCTCATGACCGCCATCGAGGCGGCGATGGCCAAGAATGTGGTCCTGGACGACGAGTCGGTGACGCTGACGGCGACGATCCAGCGTGCCTCAGTAAGTCAAGGCAGCTGGACGGGCCACCGTCGCCCGAGGCCGGTCGAGGAGCACGAGACGGACACCGGCGACCACGGCTTCCAGAAGGCGGGCGAGACCGACCAGGAGACGGATGCGGCGTCTCCGCGCGACAAGGCCTAGGCGGCGGCAGCCGCCAGGACCAGCCGCCAGCCTCGGGCCGGCGGCCAGGCATCAAGAACGGCAAGCGCGTCGGCCTGTTCTACCAGGTCACGGGCTTGCTGAGCGCCTTCGCCATTCAGGCGGTGCTCACGGCAGACTGGCTGTCCCAACCGCTCAAGCCGTTTGCTCAGTATGCGACGAGCGCCGTGCAGGACGTGGCGGACCACGTGAGGAACGTCAAGGAGATCTACACCGTCCGGGGCCACGGCGCGGGCGTCATGCAGGTGTTTGGAGGCGAAGGCGGTGTCGCCGAGGCGGCAGTGCGCCGCGACATGACAGCCACGGA